TATAACCAACATTCCTGAAATCCAACTGGTGCATCATGGGATGGATACTTTCGAGTCAAGCATAACTGACGATAAAGTTACTGCTTAGAAAATCTAACCACCGCATTTGATACAGTAGTGTGCCTGACCTAAAAATCAATGACACAGATCCGATGTGGAGAATCGACCAAGATAATTTCATATAACAGCTTAGGATGGTTTGAGCTGCGTAATCAGTACGAGAAAAGACTGTTCAGACAGCTAAACGAGAGACCGATAAACAATGTACTTACCAGAATAGTCGTAACGTCGAGGACCCAACCACCGCAACTTGTCATCATTACGCAATAGATCGGCATGAAATCCATAGCCTAGCATGGAGACAGCATATCGAATAAAACTCCCATCGTCAGCTGAATGCACGGCAGCGATATCCATAGCCAGATCATCTCCTATCAGTAAGATAAAGTGAGCACATCGAGAGGTTAATTCGACGAGATCAATAAACCGGTGCTTCCAACTTAAAATAAATCTTAGTTTAGGTGTATCTGGGTGGGACAACTTCAACTCACCCAAAACAATATGTAACGCAGATGTCAGGGCATCATTTGTTCCGTGTGTGGAGAATACAACCGTATCGGTAGAACCTGAATGTGGTATTGAAAATTGGAGAGATGATAACACTCGAATGAAATTTTGAACAGCATAAAATAACGAGAAAAAGGATTAAGTAGAAACCGCACATACATAAGTTATCAAAACATGAAAGCCCAGAAAAAAACAAATAATATGTTACTAGAGGGTCGGTTTGAGATCCTCAATATCCAGAAGTGGAAAAAGCTGTAATCCGATGGGACTGGCGCAACCGCGGATAAGCAAAGGAAAGTGCAGTAACCATGCATGTTGTAGCATTTACTATCATTGCACTCGAAAAAGCGACCGTTTTTTCGCTATCAAAACAGTGGCGCCCGAACTTCAACTCATTATTCGTGCCATCCCAGTCTATATGAATTCTGTATCTTCATTTTGACTGTGCCCTCAACATTGTAATCACCATTCGGCTCTCTTATCTAAATGGACAGCCAAAAGACAGCAACCAAAACTGGCGCATGCAAATGCACGGTTAATGGTTGTCATCATCACCACGGAATAACCGGTCTGCGGCAATAACATGGAATGGGATACAAGAATCAACGCCGCGGTAAAAAAGCTATACGTTTTTCCAGTGCAGTTTGAAAACCGCGAACAAGAAAAATATCAAATGAAAGTGTGACATAGGAGTGCATCAAAACTCGTTCCAGAAGCAAAATAAATTTAAATTCTGTCAAATATGAATTAGCTGGAACAAACTCGAATCGATAGACAACGAAATTAAATGAAAAGCTGAATGTTGAAGTCAGTTCTCTTTGGGATCGGGAACGTCAGAAAAAGGAGATAAACAGGTCAGGAGAATACAATTTGCTTAATTTTGGTGGGAAAAAGATTAGAATAGTCATAACGATCATGTAGATCGGTGTTAGTTGTATCCAACTTAGAAGGTGATCGGAGAATGTTATTCGGTCGTTCTCCTTGGTGTTCTCAACTAGCCCGAGAGTTGGTATGTGACCACATTTCTAGCAATGCCGCTTATGCTTTTGTTCGCTTCCCTCGAGAAAGTAGATTATCCATATTCATTACCTTTGTCTCGAAAACATACCTTAAACGTTCATTAATGCTTATACTTTTTTAATAAAAGAGCCAAAAGAAAAGGAAGATTAAACCGGAGTATGAAAGTGAACAGTCGATGATTGTAGGAACGGAACCCTAGGTTAAATTTTGGAATAAGCCCAGCATCATCAATGGCGTCGTCATCGTCATCATCACTAGCATTATCGTACGAAATATACAGAGCAAACATCCTTGTTTGCTACTGAGTTCACAAATTGGAGTGGGGAGTAAGTCTGTTTTGATGGAAAGGAAAATAGAAATGAACCTTCATGGTCGACATAAATTACACAGTTCAACTCTGCATACACACTTTTTCCGACACCACATGTCACTCATGTCCGGGCCACCGAAATCCATGAGAGTCAAATGCTTGGTACGGTGCGTCACCAGGATTGTATGAGCCAAACCTCGACATCGCTTGTCCGGTTACCCTACCAGACTCCGGCAGTGTAGACCACAGTGTTCACATCCCGATGGTCTATATTAATTATGTTTCTGTAACGGCCAAGTATCTGTAACATATGGCAACATCAATCGAACTGCTGCAACATGCACTTGACCCATCACAGACAATCAAATGTGTCCATCAAGTGAGATGTAGCTGTCCGAATAGCAAGATTTTGTCCACCTTTCCTAGTTAGGGTGAGGTTGAAAGCTGGGTTAACCTAACTCTGTAGTAACACCTTACACTTCGAAAGTGTAAAACAAATGACGAGCATGCCCACAGAATATCTTGAATCATCCAGGACAACATGCAACTTACTTGGGTTTTGTCTTTCCAGCAACAAATCGTCCGCAAAATCGTTTTTATGGAAGAAGTTGGTGTTCAATGAGAACAATTCATAGCTGCGCAACCTTCAGATAGTCGGTCTCCATTGTTTGTTTGCTTCGTTGGGCTTGCAAGTGAGCGGTCTAATTGCTATTCTTATTTGTTGGACGATCCTACTTGAGCATGAAATTCACCGGCGAAAACTACGACAGCCACTGATCCGACACTTGAGAGCGATCAATTGAGGTTACAGAAAAAGTCGTTCTTCAAGTAAGATGAATACAGCAGGTCGGCCGCTATACAGGCGCGAATCAGCGATGACACTTCGTTCGGTTACTGTTGACCGCACTGTACCGTCGAGCCATAGCCCAAACTCGACTACTGACTGGGAACTAGTCTAGAATCGAGCACTCAGGTTTTACACTTAGTGCAATCCCGACAGCGGAAGCACCGCGAGCATCATATGCCGAATCGGTTCACATTTGGAGAATGAAGCATGAGGATGAGGTCGGTTCCAAAGAACGTAATGTTATGATTAAAGAAAGGTCGTGTATGTGTGTTTCGGAGAGAAAATACGACTAAATCGACGGTTTCAAAGGTTCTAAATGAGGCCGCTTGTTAAGTGATCTAATGGTGTACAAACATTGAATGCAAATAGCTGAAGATGAGTTTTTGGTTTCAACAATCCCATAGAGTGGTTTACGTTACTAGCTAAAGGCAGGGTGTCATCACTTAATTGAGTGAAACAGGAGCTAACTCGTATGATTTAAGAGCTAGAAGGACAGATGAAAATGGTTTTCCAAGTGTGTGTCAAGACATAGTTTATCGCATCACACACCGACGAAAGGGCTTTCTTTTGGAACACAGATCGGAGCCTTTTACTCGAAAGCTTGATCGTAAGATAACCAAGCGTGACCGAGGCTACCATCTGGGGTTTTTACAGACCCATCTTATGAAACTCCCGAGTTTCGCTACAGCACTAGCTAGTGGTCCACAGTTCGGAATGAGAACTAAATCTTTCACACCCAAATTGATAAGGAAATCGTGAACGGAACAGCACACTATTGGCAGCGAGACGGCCGGCCTAGGCGGATGAAAGCTGACCAATGAAGTTCTAAGATTACTCCTGTCCTAACAGTATGTCTCGGGTGATAAATGACCCAGGCTTTGATTACCATGAAGCAGAAAGTATATGCTGCTGAAATATGGCAGAAATTGCTAATACAGTAAAGAGACATGATCACTTTGGGTGGAAGACCAATGCGGGCTACCGGTGTTTGAGCAGCACTACATATAGTGAATTACATCAGTTTCAGAGAACAACCGGAGAAGCAATAAGGAATTTAGACGAAGAGTTCTGGGTAGCAACGAAACTGCCCCCCCCCCCTTAGATAACTGTCTGAGCCATGTTTTGCACATTTCACCGCTGCGTGCGAACCTTGCCAAAGCCAGCAGTGGTCGGAGGTAGGTCAGGAGTAATCATAATGCGATCTAGTACGAAGGCATAAAAATCTTTACCGGGAAACTTAGGCATATAGGTTGCGTTAGGTTTCCCCATCGGAAACCTAGGGACCAAACTGATTAACACTTAAATAAATTGTGATACGGCTAGATGCAGTAAACAGCGGTGCTAGTGTACCCATTCTTGTTCTTGGTACATCTGATTTTGCGACGTAATTTATCATCATCCACCATAGCGTTTCCTTTTCATTAGTTCATTTATTTATTGGTCGACCAAATTAGTAGTCGAAACGAGCGTACAGCAGTGAAAGGTCATTATTTATGGAAACCGAAATGGATACACACTTAAGAATCAAAACACTACGATACACCGTAAACCGTGTCAGACAAATTATTCTTTAATGTTCTTTTTCAAAATAGGCAATAACAACAGTGCTTTCGTTTATTTCATAGCTCTGTTTCAGAATTGTGTGGAAACATACGTGGAACCAAAAGGCAGCACACAATTCATGTATTGAACCAAGATCAAAAATCTAAGAACAGACAGTGAGTGAGGAAATAAAACCGGTGCAAAAGCAACCGAAAATATGGGCGACAGTGATACCAAACATATCCATTGTCCCGTCTTATCATAAGTGAATCTTGGACAATGAACACAAATGTTGGAATGATGAGTAACGAGATTCTGTGTTAAAGACAATGGCGAATTCGGAAGGAAATCATTGTTGGTAGATCGAAATGTCTCAGTCGTGACAGTTAATCGAAAGAACAGTGTATGTTGTTCCGCTAGGCTTCATCCAACCGTGCGCGAGATGTCTAAATCAGGTGATCCCGGCGTGGAAGGCATGATCCCAATTGGCCCAAATAACGCGTTTCGTTGTAGTTTGATACTCCATTCGGCTGATAAAGCCTGGCCAGGACACGGATTAGAATTGCCTCCAAAAGATGTACTCGGCACTGGTGAACCATTAATTTCAAATGAAACGTCGATTTTACCTGTTTCGCGATTTACATGAACCTCGAGATTGGTGCTAATGTTAGCCGTGAGAGACATTGGAGAATGTTGGAATGCTGGTTCCAGCTGGGCTTGTGTAGCATTAGCACTTGTTACACTGGTCACTGCTTCACCTATGGGCACGCTACCTAGGCCACCGGGATCTTTGTTTGTGATATCGATTCTTTTTTCAATTCGAATCTGGTCGAACGGGCTATTGGGGCGGAAAACGTCTGGCGCAGTTGAACGACTATTAACATCTCGGAACACGCTGTTCGGTTCAGAACCTCCTGGGTTCAGATGAATTGCGGTGCGGCTCTCAAATCCTAATCTTCCACCAGGGGCAGGGGGCGGTGAAAAAGAGTTGGCTTCGTTGTATACCACTGGGGAGGTATGGTCTGATTGTTTGACGAGTTGAAGGCCCTGCTGACGGTACGATTCGGATGGCTTCTTAATTGTGCCATCAACAGATAAAAGCATTTGTTTATCATCAAGCACATCGTATCCTATTCCTTGAAGCGTGTAGGGTGGTTGTTGAACATCCGTTCCAGTTTGATCCAACGATGCACGGATCGCTACAAAAGTATGTGGCGTACATCTACTGTCCACGTTGGGCGAATCAGTGGGTAATTCAAAAGCATGACTGAACTCTTGGTTTGGTGCTAACTTGAAGCTGATCATACCAGCTCCCGTTGTAGGTGAAGGAGATCCAACCATAGTTATGGGTGAAGCCGTATCCACGGGGGCCACACTTTGTGGAGGTACCACATTAAAATCATTAGAAGCTGCGGTGGCTGACGGTGACCCACAAACAGAAATCTGTTGTCCAAAAGTCAAGCTCAATCGCTGTAGTGTCGAT